CTCTCTCCCCATCTCTCTTTTCTCTCTCTCTTTTTCTCTCTCTCTCTCTCTCTACAGTTTTTAGTACCACCAATAAATATCTAGAAGCAGCCTATGATACTAAAGAAGCAAACCGACTTTGAAAATACAGTTTCACTGCCCTGAAATCGTTTTGGGTGCCTTTAAAATTATATAACAACAAAACTGTAGAAAAAGTGGTGCCGTAGCTTTCGTTGTTTTAAGCTGGTTTTAAGCTGACAATTCCATCATCACTTGAAAAATACATGTATGGTGAATTCTTCTCTTTTAACAGGGACTAAATGTCAGTGTAGGTACATGGTAAAAGGAGTTTTTTTCTTGTGTTTTAAGTTTGGTTTTGAAACGATTCTGTAATACAGTAAATTTTCCTAATAGTACAACACAATGTTTCTTGCATCATGCTTTTGCAGTGGAGAATTTGCTGCAAAAACACATAGCCAGCAAAACATCCACAAACATTACAATATTTACAGTTAATAGACATTTTCAGTATTTCAATATATCGATTAATGTTACATGTTTATCAAATTCAACCAATTGTAATTGTATTGATTTTTTCACTTAATAATTTATCTTTGGTGCAACTATGTAGATATACAATCTATTACAAAATATTACGCTGTATACATAATAGTGATAGTTCCAGGACACAAAACATTTAAATCAAACTTTACAAACATTATTCACATCAATCAACTTAGCATAGCTTAGCATAGCTTCAAGAACACATTGTGGAATTTTTTTTCTCATTTTTTGTCAGATGTGCTGGCTAATAGCTTTTGTGTAATGTGCAACTGATTTTATAGGTGATATATTTGGTGACGAATAGCCAGTATACATGTAAGAAAGGGGATGTGCAAAATTCCAGCTATCGTGTGTGTACATGTATGTGTATATCATATGTAAAAGAGGGCTGTATGGTGGTATAAAAATCATCATCAGTTGACTGTATTAGTTGGAGTAACTGCCCTTAACAGGGTGATATACATAATGTAGTCACCCTTTTGTTGGCTGATACACGAAATCAAATATGAAATATAGATCATCACATTGCAAGTTGTATAGTATGCATTGAATGTAGCACATAAGCACATATTACTGTGCATGTAACTGTTACAGTACTATATATCATAGAGAACTGTCATTGCAAGGCACTATACAGAGATATCTCAATCTGTCATACTTCATAATTTAGCTACTTTTAATTGATCGAATTAGATAAAGTTTAAAGTTAGATATAACTCTCCTAGTTCTTCCAGGCATCCAATGACTACTACATTCGAAAATTTCAAAACAGTTTCTTCAAAGTTATCAATAATGTGTTGAACACCTGAAATGTGCATATTAGTTACATGTACCTTCAGTTGGTGATAACTGATACTACATTTAGTAGATCTCTTAAAATTCACCCCTTTCTTAAAAATGGTATGATTAGGGATGAGGGAATGATGATAGTTCACTGAGTGTTCATATGATAATTGTAACTTATGGTTAAGCGACCAATATATGGTAAAGTGACACAATATACATTTGTAACGTCCATGTATTAAATGTCATCATGTGTACATGTAATGGCATGCATTGTATATTTGGTAATGGTCATCTAATGGTGTCTATGTAATGTGTAATAAGTTTTGATTCTGTGGTATGAAAAAGTCAAATTCTACATTATATTACATGAAAGCGAAGGTGTGTATGTGGATGTAGAATACATACATTGATATACATGGTGTTTATAGATTATTCTGTATTGGAATATTTTGTGTTACCGTAGATCTTATAATTATTGCGTTAGGGGGGAAAACTGTGCTTTTACTTAAGTTTTAGGGTTCAGTTTTGTTTGTTTTGCCCTTAATTGAACACGGTAAATTCATTTATGTTTGTATAGGGACATAATTTCTTGGTGGGATTGAAAGGCAGTTTTTCACAGTCAAAACAATTCTGTTATACTCCAGTAATGTAATGGAAACTGCAAAAACATGTATAAAAGTGCTAGACTGGGTGCCATCCTCCGTAGTTTTTGCCCGTTCCCTAATGTCACTGGGCAGCGAGCGAAAACTACAGAGGATGGCACCCATGCTATGAAGCCGCTGCAAACCTGTTTAACATTTGCAGTGAACTTTCAAACACAAAAATAGCAAAGCTGTACATGTGCACGTCTTAAATCATATGCATGTGGATTGAAGTACGAAGAAACAATAGCAGTTCCTTCATAAAAAATACTTTTATCTCAATTAAAAATCTAAGCTGCCAAATATACAAAATCCTCAGGTATGTTTCCGAAGGTTATGGAATGATTTTTCAACTATGCTTTTATAGAAAACTTACATCATTACTAGTTTTTGCAACTTGGATTTGTTGGAATTCACAACAATTTATTGTCTGATTCTTATTATGATCCTTACAGAATCATTGTTGGCCAAACAGAAACAAACATTAACAGTTATGTAAAGTTTGTGCAATGTATCATTTTTAGCTTTTCATAAAAGCATCCCTGGAGAATCAGATGTAAGTAGTAGGAAACACAATTTCAATGTATACGTAGGTTACACAATTTCAATGTATACGTAGAAAGCTTTGTTTCAGAATTAGAACAATTTACATTGTGGCGCGTATACGAAAAACCACACCACTGTTATACCTTGTGTCCATGCAATGTGTATCATTATAATAGCAAATTCACTTGAATACTACTTAAAGATTTTACAAAGTGACATGCGGTGCGTGCAAAATGTTTTTTTTTTGCTTGGAAGTGTCGAAACCTAACATTAAAAATGCGAAGATTCTATAATTCCATATTTAGTTCTCTAAACTGTTGTGGCTGTGTGCCGAACTTTTTTTTTTAAATCAGATTTTTTTCTCCCTTTATGTCAAATAAACTTTGGCCGTGTCTATACGGAACCACCCAAGGCGCGATTCGGGTAACTCACATTCCTCACATCTGGTCCACGTGCCACACACACATGTGAAACCGTGTCCGAACACAATACGCTTGAGCTACATTTATTGCTGTTTGATGATAACACGCAAGGCGGCGTGTTATTAATGTCAGAGGTCAACGACCTGCTTGCTGATGCCCCCCTCCCAGCGTATCTCGGCCGAATGCGGACGTGGTCCCGCCAGAGGCGGTGAAGCTCGCCCTCGAACGGACACATTATTTGACCATTACTGCTCTTTAAGTTGGTATTGCATAAAAAAAAAGAAATATCACTCCGTAATCCATGACCAGGCGAAGTCACATTGAAATCACATTGCGTTCAGACGCAAATCGCGATGCGGGGAAAGCGATTCGAAACCACCTATAAAAGTGGCTTGGGATAGAGGCGCTTTCAATGTGATTTCGGAGCGTTCAGATGGAGCCACTTGAAACCGGCTTCGGGGTAAACCACATGTAAACCGCCTTGGGTGGTTCCGTATAGATACGCCCTTTGATGAGAGACTGATTCTGTCATGTGACTTCCTAATTTGCATATTGTAGCTCTTGGTTAACAAACATATTGCTATGAGATTAGTTAATCTATGCAAACAGAACAAGTTGAACGCACATTGTTTGAAAGCTCTAAAAATATCAATTGCTTTCACAACGACCTAAAGAAACAGGTTGATTTTATTTCATGTTGAAGTCAATTGAAGATATAGAGTAAGAAAAAACAATACTAATGGTCCGCCCTTTCTCGGTGAATATGGTGTGATAAAGCCTTGTCATTTGCTATAACTACCGAATGAAGCCACCGAGTGAGCGCAGCGTATTCACCTCGCATTAACCCTTAATTGTGCCCTTCTTCGACACATATAAGTGCCTGGCACCGAAACGGGCCGTCATTGGTCGCCATAAATAGATTACCAACTTCACATTAATTATGCACGGCCGTTCTGCACACCTGTGTAAAAACAAGTTTGGTATGGTCCTTTCAAAATGGCGTTCGTACAACGGAAATACTCTGGGCTGATTTTTTTCAAACTTGCTGGGTACTTTTTAGACGTTTTCGTCGGTAGAATGTCTTAGTAAGTGTGCAGCAGAATGTCTGGGAGTGTTCGCCGAGGATTTGTACCGTTCTGGTGGTGTTTTGAAGAGAAAGTGCGGATTTCCTGACCTGGCAAATTTTGGAGGAGACAAAAATGGTGAGACAGTTGGGAAGAGTAGCATGGTACAGCACGACTTCGCTCATTGTTGCAGGTAAACCAGTACATTGTTTGGCTAACATTATTCTTTGGCAACAAGTACGAACATGTCAAGTTATATTCCGTAATAATAAGAAATGACCTATTTCTGTATTAGGGAGCGGCCGTTCCTATAATTTTATACAGGCTTAAAAAAGTCTTATCAAGTTGCCGCGTTTTCAACAAACATTTTCGATGTGTGGTGCGGTTGGAGAGTATATATAAAATGTATGTGCATGCCTTTTTAGTCAGTTGAGGTTATATTTGTTGAAAGAAATTGTGTATCGACCAAACCTTTTTCTTTTTTTAATATCTCCACGTGGTTCAAAACACATGTTGGAATGTGGCCGTGTACATAATTAGTTACTTTTCCCGCCAAAAAATTGCGTAAACAAGATGGGGGCCTCAAAGCTTCAGGGCGCCGAAATAAATACGGTACAAAACGGTAGCTGAAAACTAGTTATGTCGAGGTGACCATACTTTCGTTTCATTATCATTTGCAATGTGTTGTGTATAATTTAAAAGCTTGCCTTTTTCCCTTTTAGAGCAATTCAGCTAAATAGTAAATGACCAAGCTCACACATTTCTGGCGCAAACACTACAGTTGAGTATGCTTGAAGGTAGCAATTCCTGTTTTCAAAACGTTTTGCGCCGAGTGTTTTTGTATTCCACATAAAGTATATTCCACTAACTTACAGTGGGTGTCACTGGAAGACAGAAGAAAAATGTCCAGACTATGCATGATGTACGTACAAAATGACTAATAAACTGGTGGACGTCCTAATTACTAAGTA